GAGACAGCCTGCGAGACATGACCAAGACATGAATGTGGACCAGCTTTGCTGGGTGGGACTTACAAAACCTTTAATTCTCCTTTAAGTGATATGTAAACTGTTTTTGTTTTTTAAGATGAGCAGTAAGGGAACTTATCCCCTTACTTGGTGTCAGCACCACGCTCTGCCAAATGAGCCATGAGTCGGCCCATAATACATAAATATTTTTAATGTGCGCTTTATTTTATATTTACAAAAAGATTTACAACACATTAAATTCCATCCACTGAACACTCACCTACAAAGTACAGTACATTACCTAGTTTCAACTTTCATAGATATTTATTACAAAGATAAAAGATAGTGATTAGAAGCAAATCAGGAGTAGTTCAATATGAATGAAGAAGAACATTAAAAACACAGTCCTTCCACCCAGGAGCGCAGGGTGTGTCCTATGCAGTGTTCCTCTTACCTGTTCCTGCCCTGTGTGCAGGCACGTGTGTGTGTGTGCAGAGGTATGTGTGCATGTGTGCGTGTCCAGGTGTGTGTGTACAAGCGTGTGTGTGTGTGTGCTCTTCCCTGGGGAGAGGGTGCCACAGGCCTGCCGAGGGCCTGCTGCTCCAGTGACAGGTGAACTCTGGCATTTTTTCAGCTAATGTAAAATTTATACCCAACAAACACATTTCTTTCAAAAAATGTAAAGTCATTTCTAAGAATAGAAATCATTTAATACTTTTTCCACAAAATTATCCTCGAGGTAGATAGGGAATGTTTTACTAAGTCTGATGAGTATTGGTTGTGCAAAGATTTATGCAGTAGTGGATAAATAAGGAACATATTTGGGGCAATTTTAAAACTGTCTTAATTTAAAAATAAGTAAAGTAAAACCCTGCTGCTGAGGGAAATATAGATGGTAGAGCTGAAGTTTTCATTATTTGTTACTCTATTTTGATCACATTTAGATTTAGGGTGACAGTACTGGCATCTCATCCTAGGGATGTTGATGTTAATATCTTAATAAGTTTAATAGGTTTGTCTTGGTGACATGACAAGAACCTCACTCAAATTTGTTAAGATATAAAGGTGGTTTTAATTACTCACTGAAGCCAAGAAAGGGCTAAATAGAGAAAGCTCTGGTCAGGGCCTCCAAAACAGTTGGAACCAGGGCTTCAACTGCTGTCAGCATCTCTGTCTCTGCCTCTTTTTCTGCAAGTCAGCTTCCTTCTCTTTCAGTCTAGACCAGATTCCTCCACATGGCAGGAAGCAGAGCCCACTGACAAGCCTGAAATCATCCACCATTAACATCTAGACCAGTCACTCTTGCCGCCCTGGCCATGTGCCCTTGGTCCATTCCTGAGGTTCCCTGTGGCTGGGGAATTGTTCTCCAATCTGTCCCAGGCTTCCTACCTCAAGTACCTGCATCCTACTGCCTGCGGACATTCTCTGGCTGGGGAAGTGGGCTGGGATGGCAGGAAGGACAGGACAAAAGAGCGAGATCATTAGTACACCCAGAAGTAACCTTCAGCCAAGGAGGAGTGGGAATCGGTGCATAAATACCCCACTTTCCTCATTCTTCAGGCCTATAATTGTGAGCTTTGTTCTACAGGCCTCGCAAGGTTGGACTGAACACTTTTGATTATCGCTTTCCTCTTTTCCCTGTCTCACTTCCACACCCTCTTACCATGCTTCTTGGGATCGGGTTCCAAATAAACTACCTTGTTTCAGAGTCTCCTTTTGGGGAAATAGACACTAGGACAACCCACAAAGAATAACTGGTTTGGGTTTCCTTTGTGACCCACTGCAAAACCATGGAAAAAGTCTTAGGTTGGACGGGGGCGATGGCCACGGTGGGCGGACCGGGTCTCAGGTACCGGGCGGGGGGGTGGTCATGGGAGGGCGCAGCTTTTGTTGGGTTGAACGCACTTGGTTGGCCTGGCAGCTTGGACGGCGGCGGCGGTGGGCTTTGGGCGTTGTGCGGTGGGCGATGGACGGCCCCTGTCTCGGATCCACGGGCAGGGGGGCTTTTATTCGGGTTCAGGCTAAATGGGCGGACTGGCAGCTTGGGCGACTGCGGCGGCGGTGGGGGGGCCCAGATCTCCGGAGTTGGGGGCGTGGCTTCAGTTTCGGTGAAGGCTCCCTTGTTGGCCTGGAAGCTTGGACAGAGGCGGCGGTGGCGCTGTGCGATGGGCTGTACCGGGTGGTGGGAACTCGGGGGTGGGGCTTTTGTTGGGGTTCTGGCTCCCTGGTCGGCCTGGCTACTTGGAAGGCAGCGGCGGCGGAGACGGCGGGCGGTCCCGATTCTCGGATCTCCAGGGGGGTCTTTTGTTGGAGTTCTGTCTCCCTGATCAGTTTTATTCGTGTTCATGCTAAATGGTCGGCTTGGCTGCTTGGGCAGCATCGGCGGTGGTAGGCGGGCCCGGGTATCGGGTCCTCGGGGTGGAGGGCTTTTGTTGGGGTTCAGGCGCCCTGGTCGGCCTGGCTGCTTGGACCATGAAGCGGCGGCGATGACGGCGGTGGGCGGGCACGGGTTTCCGGTCCCCTGGGGTGGGGAGCTTTTGTTGGGCTTCAGGCTCCCTGATCGGCCTGGAAGATTTGACAGAGGCGACAGTTTGGGGGAATGGATCATGGTCCCCCGGGGGTGAGGGGGTGGATTTTATTGGGGTTCAGCCTCCCTGATCATCCTGGCTGCTTGGACTTCGGCGGCTGTGGGCGGTGGGCTGTCCCGGGTCGTGGGAAGTCGGGGATGGGGATTTTGTTGGGGTTCAGTCTCTCTGGTCGGCCGGGCTGCTTGGACGGTGGCGGCGGTGGAGGTGGGCGGTCCCGAGTCTCAGGTCCGCAGGTGGCGGTGTTTTGTTGGGGTTCAGGCTCCCTGATCGGCCTGGCAGATTGGACAGGGGCTGCTGTTTTTGGGAACGGATCTTGGTTCCCCGGAAGGTGGGGGAGGTTTTAATGGGGTTCAGGCTCCCTGGTCGGCCTGGCGGCTTGGGAGGCCGCGGCGGTGGGCCGGCCCGTGTCTAGGTTCCTCGGGATGGGGGGCTTTTGTTGGGATTCAGTCTCCCTGATCGTCCTGGCTGCTTGGAAGGCGGCGGCGACGGCGATGGGCGGGCCCGGGTCAGGGGTCCCAGGGGGCGCGTCTCTTGTAGGGGTTCATGCTGCTCCATGGTCAGCCTGGCTGTTTGGGCGGCGGCAGCGGCCGGCGGGTCCGTGTCTCGGGTCCCAGGGGGCGAGGGGGAATTTTTTTGGGGTTAAGGATCCTTGGTCACCCTCGCTGCTTGGACGACGGAGACGGCCGTGGTGGGCGTGCCCTGGTCTCTGGTCTGGGGGCGGGGCCTTTATTTCGGTGATGGCTCCCTGGTTGGCCTGGCTGCTTGGGCGACGATGGCGGCTGGGACCGCGGTGGGCGGGCCCGTGTCTCGGGTCACGGGGGC